GTGTGTGTGTGTGTGTGTGTGTGTGTGTGTGTGTGTGTGTGTGACTCAGGAGCAGAGGGAGACTCCCTCCCCTTGTTCCCTGTCCAACTCTGCTTCCAGCTGTTGCTGCATTCTTCTACACGTCGCAGTGGGCTGAGGCCGCGGGCTTCTTTTTCTTCTTCGTCTTCTTTTTTTTTTCTCCTAAATGACTTTTCTGTATGTTTGTACCGTCTCCCGGAGGCTCTGACTGCGACAGAGGATTCCAGAGCTTCACTAAGACATACACATGGTGCGGGGAATGTCTGCACACTCAGGATCACCACACAAGGAGAAGCAGCTCAGAGTTTCTGGGGAACTCTCTCCACCTTGAACTGACAGATTGCTCCCAGCACCATGACAGAAGTGGCAAACCCGGCCGCAGTAATGGTAAGGATGATTTTACACAAACAGCATTCTCAGATTATAAATGTAGGAAGGTTGTGATTGAACGTGTTGCTGCTGAGTTTTTTCTCTGATTTTGTTTAGGTTTTATGAAACCAAACATCACAATAATAGAGAAAAGTCTGAGATGCRGTGTAAACTGTATGGATTTTTGTAATATTGTAGTTTGTTCAGGTTGAACCGACACTGTCTGACACACGTTAGTCTGTCATCTGCTTTAGGCACTCAATATTTCATGATTCAGTAAACATTGTTTACTTGGCCTGACTTGGAACTCTTCAAATCAACTTAGGAAGGAAGCTTTCCTTTCCTGAGGCCCTTGCCCAGTTTAAACAACTCTTTTTTTTAAATTAAACAGTGAATTACAGCTATTAACTACTGGAGTCAGCCATGTCTGTTAGCTAAATATCACACAAACCACTGGACAGTTATGAATAAAACATCAATGCACTGTAAATTTTCGGTTTTAAGGCTGATTTACTAAACAGGAACAGAATTATAGAGATTAATAATCTTGTTAGCCTAAAAATTTGACTCAAATTAAGTAAAAAAAATCTTCCAACGGAGTAAGACAGTTATGCTTAGTAAAATTCTTGAAATCACTTAATTTGACTCTTTTTTTATTTCAAGAATCTTACAAAGTATCTTCCATTGGCCGATTTTTTTTTTACCTAATTTGAGTCAAATTTCCAGGCTAACAAGATTATTAATCTTTCACATTCTGTTCTTGTTTAGTAAATCACTCTCAAAACAAGATAAAATGTATTGACTGGATATGATTTTAAAAAACTTGATTAGATGGACAGTTTTTGCAGTGTGGATGTGTCAAACCATTCAAGATGGCTGACACAAAGATGGCTTAATAAACGTAAAAACATCATTTTGTGACTCAAAAGTTCAATTTTTTTAGTATAACAGAAATGTTTATTTAGGATTAAATCAGTTAACTGTTACTAAATTGCACTCAAAGTGCATGATTTATGTTCAGATGCATATTTTGTTTTTGAGTTTACTGAAGGAATATTGAAAGAATTCAAACAAGATAGAAGTTGAGTAAAAATGTTCATTTTATGCAGCTGGTAACACTTCCTGTCTCATATGTACTCTACTTCCTTCCTAACCAGGTGTCTTTGTATCTAATTTCCCATCTTTTTATTCTGTTCATTTATATTTATTTATTTATTTGTTATTTCAAAGCTTAGCCTTTCCATGAGCAAAGATCCCAGTTCTCCTCACGAGCTCGAAATGTTTTATTGCAAAATTTCCTTTTTTCCAAATCTCCATCCTCCCTTGTCTCTCGGTCATATCCGGCTCCTTTAGAAACCAAACATCACTTGATCCCCTGCATATGGCAGCTGATYTAATCTGGGTTTTTCCACAGACACAAACACCACAAACAGAAAAATCAAATCAGATTTCCTCCACTTTTAAGTCAGCTGAAAAAACAAAAGACTTTTTTCCCCCCTCCATCACGAGGAGTCTGCAGTCTGCACCTTGCTGACAGATTATAGGGGAAAAAAAGGAAAGGAAAGGATTTTGTGAGAAAATCCAAGAGAAGCAGATATTTGTTGATTCTTAGCAGGAGATCAAGGTCGGGTTGTGGTTATCCACCGTCAGAGTTTTTACCTAAACAGACACATGTGCAGGAAAATACACAGGAAAACACACACACATACTGTACGCTCAGATGTGAAATGGGACGTGGGCGGTCAGCGGACATGTTAACTGGGCTATGGTCTCGTTGTGGACATTACTGCACACACAWATGCATGAAAAAAGACAGAAGGGACAAAACCCCATTTATTTCTAAGAGTTGCTCAATATGAGGRGCTCTGTATTAAACAGCATCGCTGATACAAAGCATGCTTTGTCAGGTGGGAGGAGGGCAGAATATGGCTGGAATGTCAGGGGAGGGGGATGTTGGAGAGACAGAATGATGGAAAGGAGAAAGATAAAGACAGAGGGAGCAGATACAGGCAGAGACCAACTTTTAAACAATTAACAAAAGAATGAGGTACATATGAGAGAAAACAAATCTTTTTTTTCTTTCTTTTTGTTTTTGTCAATCAAAAAACAAGCCTGGGGAGTTGTTTCCTCTCAAAGCACAAGTGTAACCTAAAGTGCTGTCACATATAAATGCATCAAATGTTACTGTTTTTATTAAACGTTGAGCAAAGCAAAGCACAGTTCTGATTTTTTATTTGATATTTTCTGTCCAATTCTTATCCTCATCTTAAAGGATGAATTTAGTTTGAAACTTCAACATTTATCGTATTGGTTTTTACATTTAAAGAGTGTCTAACAGAAAAGTGGAAACATTAAGCCTGCTATTCCTTTATCAAAACAGACGTGCGCACAAGTAAAAGAATAAAGTAATAAAATCAAAAACTCTGGAATTTGACTGAAAGACAAAACAAACTGAAAGAAAAAAGCTCATTTTAAAAGTATTTGACTCAAGTTATAAGTTCTCGGTCTGAAACTACCATCTTGTTTTTATGACTCCATTTATTTCTTCTTTTTCCACTTTCTTATTGGTTTCCTCCTCAGATGCAGCGTTTCAGAGATTCGGCTGCTATGCAGATGACATCACAGATAGATTTTCTATATGTGCACTCTGCTAAACTCATATCTTCTGATTCTTATGAGCGTGTACGGATGATTCTTCAAGTTAAAACCAATTACTAGCTTTTGTTATTCACACTATGATTCATTAGAGGAAACAGTTCACATGATTTCAGCTGAGGTTCTATGAAAAGGCTGTAAGCAAATATTATCTTACCTGTGGTGGATAACTTTTTGTACAAGAGAAAAAACTCAGTTGATGAACTAACAGTATAAAAATCAACTTTAATCTTAAAAAAGTCACAGTGGTGTGTGTGTGAATGTTATTTTATACATTTTATGCTCTATTTTCACATTACACAGTTATTTCAGCTGAAATATGAAATTTGTGGTGGATGTGAGACAAGGCTGCATTTGGGCATGTAAAAGTTATTAAAATAGTGTTTGATTAATTATTTTGCAGGTTAACATTAGAAGTTAAATAGAATAAACATTACTTTCAGTAAGTTAACCACTTGTGAATTTCTGCCCCAATAACGTCAAACTTAATCTGATGGCAAAATTGGTCTTTTTTTTTTCTTTCCAGGTCATGCTCATTGTTTTAAAACGATGCTGTGAAAACCAGACAATAACAAAGGGTAAATCTAGAAATCTAGAAAGGGGGCTGTACACACCTCACTGCTCTGCTTTAATCAAAACACACAAAGCCTCAGACTCGTCCTGACCTGCCTCAACAGAGGCTCACCTGGAAAAACATGGTTTCAAAGAAAACTACAACTACAACAACGGGGAACAATAGAATACAGATGTTTTTTAAGAAAAGGATGAAAATTGAGAAAGAAGAAAAATTTAAGAGAGGCTGTTATAAGGGGAGAAAAGCAGACAATTTACTTGTTTTTTCTTCTTTAAATGGATACTTTGACATTTTAGAAGAGATTATTATCAGTATCAGTCATGAGTTCAGCCACAGAACACAAAGAAGTAAAGAGCACGCAGACTGGACTAATGACCCACTTTATTAATGTTTTTTTGGGTTTATATCATTAGTCTACTTCAGTATTAAACCTCTACATGCTTGCATGACACTCAGTCTGCTACAAATTGGTAGGTCAAATTTAATAAGATTTAAAATATTMTTTTGGAAGCCATATAAACTGATAYWAAGGACTGGATCTGAGGGCCTTTTATTCACATGTTGTCCACATGGTCTGTGTTCAGCAAATAAGGATTTCTGTGGTAATGCTGATGTTCTGTTATGAAAACAGCAACAAACGGTGTTTTGTAAAAAAAAAAAAAACGTTTAATGCTTACCATATAATGTGTGGACAGAAACTGAATTAGAAATAAAAGCAGAACCAATAAATAATTAAATACACTTAAAATGCTAAAATTAAATTAAAAAGGCAGAACTTAACCTCATGTTTTGTAA